TGTAAAATTTATGAGAGCAGAGCAGAGCAGAAAAATATCTTCTAGCATATAATACACACACACACACACACACACACACACACACCGACTGTTTACGATGCTCTTAAGTACTGTATTGTGCCTTTCTCCTACCAGTACTTATTGTATTTGCTTTGCTCTTATGCTGAAGTGAGATATATAGCTAATGCTGTTTGGGAATCACTTGTAGGGAAGTGAGATAGATGGTGTTTGCTAGGCTATCTCCACTGACTTCTTTATGTCTCTCTCTCTTTCTCTCTCAAGACCCTATTAATGAGATGACCCTCCACGCTACGCTCTTGGGGATTGGTTTCTTATAGGATTTTATTCTGATTTATAGTGACTGGCTTATGTATAATAATATCGAGTCCCTGATCATGATACTGACTGTTATTTCAGGAATAATAATCTGATCAACTTTTCATGAATTTGATACAATAACGACGACCATGTGTGACATTCCATCATAAATCAATACACCGCAACCTCTTAAAATACGGCCCCCTTCTTCGTATTCAGTTCTCTAATATAGCATGCATTCACACTGTTGATATTTACAAAATGACTTCAAATTAAATCTAAGGCTTGAAGGACATATCTAAGGTTTAAAAAATAGCTGTATTATTTAAAATCAAGTTTTTAAATTATTACACTATTATTAAACTATACACACACACGTTAATCTACCTGTGCTGCCTATAAAATAAATTGCACTAGGATTGTTCTAATCGTTATAAAACTTGCATTGAAGAAGTTAACTGTGACAGATAAGTGTTATGATACTAACTACTACGATGCTGATGAAGCTATGTTGCCGTAATAATTTTACAAGACCCTAAAACTGGATTAGCAATTTGGCGATAAGATTGTGTCATCCTAACTCCGTCCCTGTAGAATGTCTACCCAAGCAGCACTAACTGTGAAAAACTAACCCGTCTAGGACAGCACAAAGGCCAGCTAACCCTTGGTCAGTGTCTTCTAACTCACACACACACACACACACACACACACACACACAGACTCCCCACGATGTGGCGGCGGGTTGACAAGCCTGTCTGCCAAACAACTCAATTAAGCAGAAAAGAAGGGGAAGAAAAGCTGAGAGAGAACAGAGGAGTGCGAGAAGGGGAGCGAAAGAAAGCGGCCTGTTCCCTGTCAGCTGCACGGCCAGGGTGAAAGGGGGCTCGCCGAGAGAAAAGAGTTTTAGCATAGAAGAAAAGGGAGAGTGAGAATAGAGGCCGAGCTCTGTGATGTGTTAACTGGCATCGCTGCCCTCGGGCAGGCTCAGGGAAGCAGGTCAAACTGGGAGCCACAGGGTCACCGCCACGCCAACAGAGACACCCAGGCTGGAAAGTGTCTTAGTAAGCGTGAGTGTGTTTGCTCTTCTCTTCACGTTAACTGAGCTAACTGTGCCAGAATGAACACAAAAAGAGTGTGTGTGTGTGTGTGTGTGTGTGTTTGCTTTTCTCTCGTGCACAGTTTGAAGACGGAAACACTGAAGGATCTCGTTATAATTTTCAAGCGTATTATCATTTTTTCACGGCTAGAAATCAGAAACACGTCCAGATTTCCATAAGCGCCAGTACCGACGCTCATCTTGTGGATTAGGTTTAACAGTAACCATGTTTGTCTTGAATCCATCCTAGAGGCTCCGTGAGAATCTTACGCGAACTCAATCTCACGATTTTACAAAACCAGTGATGTGATTCGTTCCAGTTCTGCATCAGTTTAGAACCAGTTTGTTCCCATGCTAGACTTTCAAGCCATATGGGAGAATGTGTAACGAAGAACTGTTATGTGTGTGTGTGTGTGTGTGTGTTAGGTTAATGGCACAGGTCATTACTAGGCCCAGTATAAGTAAGTGAGTGTACTGGGTTGAGCCGTGCTGTGGTCAGGAATTTAATGGGATTGGGGGTACAGGAGGTGTTAAGTTAAAAAGATAAGTTAGAGGGGTGGGAAACAAACAGGGTCCACCCCTCCTCCTCCTCCTCCTCCCCTCTTACCATTCAAATGCTCAAATTTATTGCTCAGCATTTCCTATCCCCGAGACTCCCCACGTTGCACCCAATGACTCTGAGAAAAGGTGGAAAGACAGTCAGAGGAGAAGAGAGGAGAGAGGACAAGAGAAAATCAGAAAGCTAGAAGAAGAAGAGAAGAAGAGGCTTTATTACAGTGGAGGAAAAAGAAAAGCTTAGAAACTGAGGAGAGGATTCCAAACCTACACAGTCAATAGGACTTATCTCTGGAAAAGCCTTAGTTCTGGCTTAATCTGTAAGTCGCTGAACAGCCTTCTTAGAAATGACTAATCAAGATAATCTATTTGAAAGGAATACATTTACTTTTGGTGCTTTTCCAACTTCTACATGTATGTGTTGGTCTGAGATATCTGGAAGACTCTGTCATCCTGAGGGAGGTTGGAGATTTGTCTGGAGTTATGGAAGAAAGAATCCAGAGAGAAATAAATCTTCAAAATGCCCAGTGG